CACCCATTTTTATACTGATCTGACCTTTAATATTTTTTTGCTATCTTTATATATATTTAAAAAAATATCGAGAAAGTTTTAAAATGACTGACAGAGTCCGTTCGACGACAAAAAAAGAAACACAAATTCGGCCCGAGCGAAATCGCCTATATGTTGTTGTTTTTTATACGCATAGAGAGAGCATTAGATGTTCTAAAAGAATAAAAAAAAGAGAGACTCTGCGGTCATAGAACTAGTCACTTGCTGTGACGCGAAAGCAAATGTAGGGCGATTGTGCATTGCAGTTATTTCTATGATGTATTCTGTTAAGTTGTTTTCTTTTTTAGTTTTTAATATATTCTTTATTTCTTTTTTGGTGTTGTAAATACCACAAAAAACGAATATATATTTTTTTGTTAAATTGAGAGAGAGAGAGCGACGAGGTCCAAAGAAAAGTGTCCACCCCAGGCGCCGCGCGTGGCTGGAGGCGGTGCGCGCATGCGCGGTTGACCCGTGGCCGCAGGGCGCGCTGCCTCCGAGCCACGCGTGGTGCACGGCTGCACGCGTGCCTCGCGCCGCGTCGCCCGCGCCTCATCGCACGCACACGCGCACGCATACGTGCACGCGCCGAGGTTCTCCAGGCGGAAGGCCTCGCTTCGAACACGAGGCGTGACAATGCTTCGGAATGATCCCATCCCGGTGATGTGTGTGACGCGGTGGAGTTGTTGGAGAGAGAAAGAATGGGTATGTTAATGAGATTTGTTTATTGTACAGTACAGCTGTGATTGACAACGACGTAGGCATTCTTTCTCTTTCCAATCACTACACACGTTTATTGAGTCAACCATACAGTTTTAAGGGAGAAAATCTGGAGAATAACCATCGAATCATTATCATAATCGATTGAAATCATTTCTATCGTTATTGTTATAATTCCAATGAGTGAACGCGCACAGTTTGTTATTTGAAATCCACCTGTTATTACGTGCTGGTTCTCGCATTGGAATCTCAACACATTTTTTGTTAATAACAAACATCATTTTCTCCACCACGATGGTTTTATATCTTCGGCAATTTGATAACATCCCTAATGTGCGAAAGAATAGGTGCTGATGCTTAGTTCCCGAATCCACGCCCTATACCAACCAACCTTCCTAAAAGACCCTCTACCACGACGCGTACATCAATCGGAATTCTTCTTCCTTTTCGCGACATCAGGAGTTCCTTAAGCCGCAACCGCACCTGTTCGCGTCCAAAATCACATCTATTTTTATTTGTCTTGCGAACGGGTAGAAAATTAAATTAGAACATAGGGCGCTGCCGTCCAAACCAGTAGTCTATGGTGCCTTCTTATGAATACCGCGGTTTTGGTATTGTCGGGTTTAACAATTGCCTAGTTTTTTTGTTTTTTTCTACGCTACTTACTTCGGGCTTCTTCTTGCAGTAGAAAACGCCAGCGTAAAACGTGTTTATTTTAGTGGTTTCCATTTCTTTTTCGTACATGTGAGCTCGTTTCGGCGGTTGTTACTTGCACGAGCTCATGTTGCGAGTGGGAAACACAACTCCGATTCGTGTACACTTCTCGCGTCCGGCAGTCGGGTCGTGGCCGTCCGCAGGCCTCGTGCGGTCGGGACCGCGCTGTAAACTGGTCGGAAGCTCGCCGCACCACGGCGACGCCGACCCCAGCGCGCGAGCGGCGACGCGCGCGACTTCTCGCGGGAGAGTTTAGAACTCCGCAGCGCCCCAGAAGAAGAGAAAATTGAATGTTGTTGATTGTTGTTACTAACACTTCATGGAGCGCCCTCGGCGCAGTCATCCTTCGCCATTTCCTCCCGACTCATCCAGCTCTGACCTATCCGCGGACGAGCCGCTCCGAGATCCGATAGATCTCCGATGCTCTCCGAAGATCTGATAGATTCTTCTACGAACTTATATTTATTGAACCCTAGTGTGTGTATGTGTATCTGTTATTGTAACATGAAAGACAGGGTCTCGACGAAAACAAGACACCAGAATCGGTGAGGTTTTATTATTTGTATATGTTAAAGAGTGATAAAGCACATCACAAGTGATTGTAAATATCATATTACATTTCCTATTATGTATGTTATTAACGAAGATTTTTTTTCACGGTTGTTTCAGTAATTCTTTGAATGCTACTGTTGGTTTTCAATATATCATGATTTTTTTACATCAACTTATGATTGGTTTTCAACGTGAATTCCCTTCAATTATTGTTTTTATAAGAATGTCTCAAAGTCTTCCATTGTCATTATATACAATTTGCAATTAAATCAATGGGAAGATTTTGACACATTCAATCATTTTTTTCCATTCATCACATTCTCTTAAATTTTGTTTTCAGTATTGCAATGTCTTGCCTATTGCATGTTTATGTAAACAGGTATAATCCCATAATAATATAATTCAGTTAATAAAGTTGTTGAAAGATTTGCAATTTATATTATGTTTTTTATTTCATTTCACTCTCCTTTCCCCTTTTTTCTTCCGTTTCCAAAAATTGTTCCTTGCCTAAATTCAATCATTTAAAACTAATGCTAAAGAAGTTCATTAGGTACTTCAAAAAAGCAATTTAACATTCGACTTTCACAAAAAGAATTAAATGTCATCCAAAAAATATCTATATTCTGAATTTTAGAATGGTAACTTATAATTGAGATAAGGCAGCAATTAAAATATTCCTAAGAAAAAGAGTGTTTTCTCTTTTATAGCAGATGAACACATTCAAATTAAATATTGACAAACGGCACAAGAATGGTAATCGTACAAAATGAAGAGCCATAGAAAAGTTATAACAGAAAAGCCCTACATGTGCACGATACGGAAAATCGAAAACTCCCAAAATATTGTTTCATGCTCTGCAGTTCTTATAGATCCTTGCTTCCGGAACTCAATCTCGTGACGTAGTTCGCGCCTTCGCTTTTACTCAGACGCTCATGCGGTTTAATAAACCTCTCTTCTAAGAAAATTATTTTTAAAGGGAATAATATTATACTGACCTGCACATTACCACATTATGTACAACAAATCTAGACCTGCACCAAAAGTCACCTTATCAATTGGATCGATGATTTTAAAAGGGAAATAAATCTATTTTTTTCCAAAATAGTTGAAATATACATTTTCTTTAATATTCTTCAAGCTGCTGATCAGTGTAAAACTGAAGCTTGTCAGGCTTAAATTATGTGTTCTATTACCAACTAAAACCTCTAATGTCTGTAAAAGATAAAGAACTCCAGGACTAGTTTCTAGACCTCACACAGAAGAATTAGTATTAACAGTTAGGACACGCCTAAATGCTTCATGACAACAGTAATAGACATGGAGGACATCATCGGCTTCAAGACCTGACGGTCGAAATCTTTTAAGAAGACAACCAAATCTCTTGTTCGACCTGGCAGTCCCCACAGTGAACCTTGCGTGACTCTTTGCAATAAAGCAGCGAACGTATGATAGAGAACTCGTGGCACGTGAGTACATATATTGATGAGTTTATCAAGTACTCATTCACGTTGGTAAATTGAAAGGCACATCATGATTTGCCTTTCAAGTAAGTTTATGTTCAGATGCTCATCCAATAAATGGAAAGAAAATAATTGATTTTAAAAAAATAATAAAACACATCTCACATAATTTTTTTTGATTTCAACCGGAACGTTTTTACCTAGCCACAAACTCAAGTGGAAATCGATGATGAGTAAATGCTAATATTATTAGTTTAGTAAGTGTACTTTTCATGACCATATAGAACAATAGGTTAATTCACATCATTATATAAAGCGGATATAATTACACTAGTATCGTCATATTGTAGCGGACTATTGCAGGATCTCTTGCTGTCCATCTTATAGGACACCCACCGGGACCGTACACTCACTTATTTTCAGTGATAGGTTGCCATCACATCAAAGTAACATGATTTACCGAATCTACCGATAATTCACACCTTCTGCAATTGATCAGGTCCTTCCCATTCAAGTATAGCAACGTGTGTTGGCATCTTTTCCTTGGAACATAAATCTCCGCTGCCTATTAGCATATGAGCGAGAGGCGCGAAGAGAAATTCCTCGTTGGAGCGAGAGGGGCATTCTCTGAGAACATTGGCCGCAGCTCAAACTCTCGGAGCGGGCTGTCGCATGGCAACGCGCGCAGCCCGCGGCGAAACGCCCGCCGCCCTGGCACCGCCCCCGCGAAAACATCGATACACACTCTGCCGTCCACACATGAACAGAGAAAATCGGTAGTTTTCCGTTCATGTGTCAGCTTTCTCCGATCAATAGACAAATTCCGGGCCAATACCCTAAAAAACGGACCAAAGGTTGTGCGCGACCTTTTCGTCCTCACCCTTACTCTCCCCACCCCCTTCCTGACCTCTCCTGCGCACCTCTCCTTCCCATCTCTCCCGCGCACACTAGCTCCATAGCTAGGTCGAATTCAGTCGCTGTCTGGAGGAGAATTTTAGCGGCCGGCTGCTCTGCTCGGTAGTTTTCCGTGGTTTCTTCGATCAACACCAGGTGAATGTCGGAGCAGTAACCTAACAAATGGGCCACGAACCACTGACCGAGCGCAATATTTCCTTCCCTTTCCTTGTCCTGTCCTCATCCTTTACTTACACACCCACCCTTAAATGCACTATACTACCACGCAGGCCGCAAGACCGGTCGGGAGCTTAAAGCTTGTCCAGCTGGGGTGATGCCCTTCTGGTGAGAGATGCCTGTTTGAAGCCCGTTAGCCGACGGTAAGTCAGTGTCGGATCTCCCCATACAACGGGGGAAGATCACCGCCACCTCCCGAGAAAAAAATGCACTACCATTACGGAACTATTGACCTTATCAGTTGACACACCCAAAATCATCAATCAATTAAACCTGACGCGCGCGCAC